GTAATGCATGGGTTATAGGTCAGTGTTTTTAAATTTGAATTCTTATTTAAGTATATAACTATGTTATTTTGAAAAATGGTTTCAAATAATATCTGTGTCTGTAAAACAAGATTATCCAAGGCAGTCCAAAAAGTGCTGATATAATTTAGTAGAGTCTATTAACCTCATTTAATTTTTTAATTTTTTTTGAATTTAAAAAATGAAATTAGAATTTTGTTTGGCTGTGCCAAAAGTCACATTACAAGCACTTTTTGTGGTCACCAGAATGATCCTGTAAAATATATAGTTAGTAGCTCTTCACAAAAAACTTTCATCCCTTCATAATTACTATCCAATTAGATCGACAGATCTAGTGTAAACAATCTTTAGGATTAGGATTAAGTCATATTAGAAGAAAAATTTTTGTCTAATGTGTAGGAGATCTACAGGCATTGTAAAACATAGAGAATTTACAAATATGGATTTAAAAGATTTGAATTTTGTTTTGAAATAGAGCATATAAACATCTTGTGTATAAATGCTATTTTATGGTTACATTATATCAAAATCATATATCAGTTAACTTTGCAGTCTAACCTTTCTATAAACACACCATCGAGATCATAGAAACTTTTTAGAAAGGTGCTTATAGAGTCTGTGTTTATATAGAAGCTGTTTTATATATGCTTATAATAGTTGGTTTTAAAATAAATGTGCTTATATAGAGAATTTTCTATAATGTGATTATATAAGGAGGTTCTATTGTATATTTAAAAAGTTACTTACTGGTTCTTTATTAATACTATTAGGTGGAATTGGCTGCATCATGTCTGACCTGCCACAAGAAAATGATTTAGCTGATATTAAGCAACATGGTGCCAACCATGACTGTCGTACATGTAATGTGCAAAATGATCAGTATACTAATTTTAATTATGATTATGTACAAAATGCTCGTTTTCACCAGCAGACAGAAGAATGATTCATAGAGATTGAGGGCCAAAATTCCAAAGCAGATAAGGAACAACTAGCAGTGGAGTATGGATTGGTTAAGCTGGGACTATTAAGGATACTTAAATGGGACCAGCATACCCAAACACCACAAGATGCATACCATTTCTTGGCTGAAAAAGCACATACTCTTTTAGAGGTGATATTTAATGTGTTTAATCTAAATGGTGAAAATGCTTTTCTAAAACATTGGAAAGATATAGAGAAACCTACCAATTGGTATCGAATGCCTAATCCCTTACGACACCATCAAAGTTTCATATTCTCCGATGTATTGAGGCTTGCGATGCTAATGTCATTTATACTTTGAAGATTTTTAAAGCCTAATCATATCAAGACAGAGATTAAGAATAATTGAAGAGCGAGACAAATATCTAGTGTATCAAAATTATGCACTTGCTGGGCAATT